GTAGTACGTCTCTCTCTCTCTCTCTCTCTCTCTCTCTCTCTCTCTCTCTCTCTCTCTCTCTCTCTCTCTAGTATGTTATGATTTTGGACTGTATGGTTTGTTTCCATGGTGGGTTCAGGCTGGTCATTTCGTCCAATAGTTGGTCTGGAAGTGAGTCTGGTTGGGGCCCTTTGAATACCTGATTTTTATGTTCATCAATAATTTAACTAATTTTGATATTCAATTTTTAATGCGTAGTTATAACCATCTGATAAATTTTACTTCCAATGACTCAGAGTTCTTTGTACCTGTTTCTCTCTATGTTACCTTTTCTATGTAGAAAGGCTTAGCCTTTTTTCTTATAGACTGGTGCCTTTCTTATTTGATTGATGAACAGGATGAATGTAAGGAATGAGCATCTATTGCAGTGTTCCGGGACTCGCCCGAGTTCACTTAGGCTAGGGCGAGTAATTTGTCCTCTCCCCGTGTTTCCCCGAGTTCTGTGTCCAGCTCGGGGATATATAAAAAATTTCAAAAAGTTTCTAAATATTGGATTATTTTATCTTTTTTTATATGATTTGGATTTATTTGGCAAAGATTGATGAGTGTTTGTGCTATAATCACTATTTTTGTAGTTTCCTCTTTCTTTAGATTTTTTTTTTAAATTTCTCAAACTGTAAATTGTTTTTTTTTAAATCCATTTTTCTCTAAATTTTTAAGTTTATTTTTTATTTTTTAAAATTGTTTTAGGTTCGATTTACTTTTACTACATGCTTTTTTTGTTTTTTCAAATTTTTTCTATTTAAAAAAAAATTAGGCCCAGAAGCCCCATGCCAGACTCGGCTGAGAGTAACTCGCCTGGCTAAGGGGGGTCCCGGCACACTGAACTATTGTATGTTTTTATATTACTTTCCAATATCAATTGGTGGATCAGCCAAGCATTGTGTCCAGGATTTTGTTAGGAACCAATCCGTGAGCCACATTGCATGTTTAATTACTTATCATGCAATCGACATTGTTCAAAGTTTCGTATAATGTGAACTCTTATCTGGATCCTTATTATAGTTTTCCTTAGAACAGAAGGTGACCCGTTCAAATGTTGAAATCTACTGCCTGGAACATTTCATGGACTTCTCATCCCATGATATATTTGAAAAGCCTGACTTTTGGAAAATGTGACAATCGGGGCTTATATGGGCGAAGCTATCATAAGCATATCAGTAAGTTTTGTATGTTCCTTTGTATGTCTCTTAAGTGTTGGAATATGTATTTGTGTTTCAAACTTCACTGTGTGCCATTCTGATTAGCATTTTCCACCAAGTCTTTGATATATTTTTCATAGCATTAGTGCTAGATTCCCCAATTGAAATTTTTTTATAAGAAAACCTTAGTTGTGTGATTTTCATGGTCTTATAGGGTTAGGTTTGACAAAGTTCCATGTGTGAACCTTTTCTCCTCAAAGTTTACGTTTTTATGTAATTAGAAATCATAGGTATATCTGGTCTATACATGTATGACACACATGAACCTTTTCTCCTCAAAGTTTAGGTCGTTTCCTCAGTATTGAAAAATTAAACGTATTCGTGGGGAGCGTGCTATTAATAGTTCTTATGATACTGTGAAAAGTGCGATTTTGGCATGATAGCAACTTGGGGCTCAAAATATGGGTCAATCTGATAAAAAGTGTCAAGTTTAGTAGTGTATTTCTATCGAATCCAAGATTTTTTTGCTTGAAAGATCATTTTAGCTAAGGTATATTTGCATGTGCCCCCTCATTATTGTGTATGCTAACATGGGCAATATCAGTGGTGTAAGCTGCTACTGGTTTGCCATGAAGTTCAAGCATCTTATGGCAGCTCACCAGTCTTGGTCTTATTTGTTTTTTCTTTTTTAAAATGATGTTGGTGTAGAGAGAGGATACTCGAGAGCGCTCCCCCTTAGTTTGCACTTCAACAGCATCAATCAGAGGTACAATTTCCCAAAAAAAGAAAAAAGAAAGAGCGTCAATCAGAGGTAAGATTGTGGTTTTGTCAAATTATGATCTACAGGGAAATCAACCAAAACGAGGGTCTCTTCCTTGCGGACCTCTGACCATGCCAACTTGTTCACCAAAAATCAAAAGAGAATTTTTTGAAACTCAAGAAAAGAGAATCTTTTGAAAAAAGGTTGTAAAACAGAGGGAATTTTTTTGAAAGTTCAGAATAAAAGAAAAGTATACAGCATGCAAATAAAAGGAAATGAGAGAAAAAAGAAAGGTAGACCTACTTGACAAGCCCTGCCCACAGGTGCGCCAACTGCTAACACTCTTTGGGGTCTACCAGTTGAGGCTGATTATGTATGACTGAGTTCTAATTTGATTTGGGTGGAAGAGGTGAGATTTCTATGGTTTAGGTCGAGCTATGGTTTCGCCTCTGGGGTTTAATGGGATGTTAAAGGTAAGAGGAATAGATTTGCCCTTTTTAAGCATTATTTTCATGGCAGCATCTGAATATCTCACTGGAGGGGGTTGCTATCTTGTTTGGTAATTCCAAATGTGTAAATCCTGCTCAACTGATATTCCTATGGTTTTGCATCATGTGGTTCAAATCCAGCTTTCATTGTTCTCTCTAAATAAACCTCATTTACTGCCATCAAACACATTTACACATTTTTGTGTATTAACATACTAATCTCTTGTGCCTGTATAAATATTAATTTTATTTTGGCAGGCAAGAAAGGCAAAAGAAAAGTAGTGGTTAATGACATTGATTCCTTTTCCCCGTACCCAGAAACCCGGACCTCTCCCCCTCCCCGTCCCATCCCCCTCCCCCTCCCCCTCCACCTCCCCCTTCCCCATGCTAACAAAGGGGTTGTTCATGGCAATTGCCTATCTGTAATATTGGACTATCAATCCAATTGAATTGAAGATCCAGCGTGCTTGTGATATCGGTGCTGCATTTTTGTTCTCTTCATAAGCTCTTGAAAAGATGTCAGCTTACATCCAAGAGTATGTAGCCTGGACCATTCAATAAACTGATGGAAAGCTTTGTATACCATATGCAAGCTTTGCCTCTTCATTTGAGGGTATCTTATCCCAATGTCCTCGCCAGTAATGGTGTCTGGTCTACAGGATATTGATGGACATTTGAGGCCATTTTATGATCCTAAAATACCAAAAAAAAAAAATCAATACAGTATCCAAGCATTTTTTTTCCTTTGGTGTGGCATTTAATAATGGCAAATCTTTTATATTTGTGGGGTAGATTTTTTTAGAATACTTAGTTCCCTGTAATTTTTTCTTTTTTTACCCCAAAAAAAAGAAATTCAAGAACTTCCATGGAGTGGTCGAACAACTTATTGTTAGAGATAGAGAGAGAGAGACACAGAATAATTGTCTTACAAGGCAGATCAGAATTCAGAGCACATTATTTCATAGGCAAACCATTTATTCCCTAATTCCTCCCATTACATAATTATACGAGAAGCTTACACTCATTCCCCATTGAATGTATTTTCTTATAAATATCTCTTTCTTTTTATTGTTTTGTAGTTTAAGTGCATACCCTTTTTTTGTGTCCTTTTCTGACCTTCAAGGACTGCAAGTGTCAACAAATTTCTTATTTTATCTTCAGACTTTGAAGGTCCGAAATACTCCTTGGAACTCCAATGAGCACTTGAGACCTATAAAGTCCAAACTTTATTTACTTCATACCTCCAAAGTCTGAAGTCCAAGAAATAAGTACTTTTCCACTAAATGAAGTGCCCATTTGAAGGCCTCTTGAGAATGGTGCTACTATAAGTTTATCTAGAGGTGCATGACCACTAACTTTACATAGGAGTCAATAAACTTAGGAATCATGCTCTTTCCTCCAGGGACTAAAATGAGACCACAAGCTTGAAGGCAAAAGAATTAAGGCAACTAGGTTTTGACCCTCAGAACCATGTACCGCTTGCCATCTTTATGTGTGTTCTGGTTCCTCTTATGCAGTGTTTAGTTTAGAGAACTGTTTTTGGTCGTTGAAAATTTGCAATCACTAAGAAGTATCAGAAATTCATTTATTGATCTTTTAGATTCTTCTGATTACCGAATTTTCGGCATTGCAGTCTGCGGCAGTATCTCTTTCTTATAAAGAGAATAAAAAGTGTAAATCCAAGTCTAATTATCCCTTCTGCAACCATGTTCTTGTCTGTTCAGAAACATAGAGAACAGATCTGACACACAAAAAGACATCATAAAGAGTTCTAGCCGTCCTTAAGTTGTAATGCTAGCTATAATATTGCTTTTAAGAGGGAGGGTATTCTTCTTTAATCAACGATACCAGTGATTCAAATTGAAAAAGGCGACGATTCAGGCTCAGACTCGCCTGAGTCACTCGTATGTGGGGAGCCAAGTCTGGTTCCGACCTTGAGACTCACCTGGATATCATCGAGTCAGGGTCCCATTCTATGTAATTTCCACTGGGGCTTGGCCGAGTTGGACCACCAACTCGGGCTCGGGACGTTGGTGAGCTGGGACTCAAGTCCGCATTTTAAATCACTGGATAAATAAGACTTTGGGGGCACTAACAGTGGATAAAAATTGGAAAACTCGAAGACATTGAACTTGACAACATTAGGTAGGTAACATTATTGTGGGTTTTAAAATGAGCACTTTGGCAGATAATGAATTCTTATTAAAAGAAAATGATAGAGTAATTCCCTGAAAGACATGCGAATACGAAACTGCGGCAGATAATCAATTCTTATTTAAAGAAAATGATAAGAGTAATTCCCTGAAAGACATGCGAATACGAAACTGGTAATACAGATATGGAAATCCAAAAATTAGAACTTAGAAAAACCCCCATGTTACATTAGAGTTTCTAGCTTCCACTTCACTTAGATATCTCCTCCGAAAAGTTAAGAAAAAAAAAAAAAATCGCTGTTATTCAAAGTTGGGAACCCTGATCAAGCAGAATCATTTCAGTAATTTGTGCCCTACCCTGACCAAGGAAGGGTACTCCCATCATTTGGTTTATGCCTTTTAGCGGGTCAAATATGAAAGTGCCCAGGACGAGGTTGTTTGGACAACTTCTAGGATATCTCTTAATGAGGTATCTAAGTGAAATTAAAATTTAGAAGTAAATCCTCTAATATTAACTGTGATATTTTAAAACCCTATAATAATTTTATAAAAGGTTAAGGTCCTTAAATGATTTTTTTTTTCTACTAGATTACTGATTCAGTCGATCTGGATCTCGCCTAATTCAACCAATCCTAAAGGGCCACTAGGGTCTTTTAGCCCAACTATGTCCCCGGATGTTCAATTTTCAAAGCCAAATGACAAATCATGTCTTGTTAGATAGAACCCGAATTTCGGAATCGGGACAAATTCTCAGTCAAAATTATATATTATTTTTTTAAAAAATAGTATAAACTAACTATTAGGTCCATATTTGGTGGAGAAATTTGTTGGGTGAGTATGGCAATTAAAAGCTTTATGAGTGCTTGTAATAAAACATTTTGATATATTGGAGTGTGAACTCAGTGACAGTGTGGTCCCTCCTGGACTATACTCAGAAAATAAAATTTGCTGATACTTAACTGAGTTTTACGAACTAGGCCAGTCGGTTGGAAAAAGCCTATATTACCTGGCATAGAAAACTATTCGATAAAGGTTCTTATAGGTCATCCCTAGGTGAGGTTGGAGTTTTCAAGGATACGTGAGCCGAGGGACTGTATGACCCTAGTATCTGATGGTGGCCTTCAGAGATGGTGGCTAAAGCCTCATCCATATACTATCACACGGCATAGATATAAGATAGTTGTTTCGGAAAAGCGAACCACCTTTTAAGATGAAACTTATGCATGTGCAAGAGATACCCCCTATCCACCATAGGAGTTGTAGTCGCATCAGGTCTAGGTGACTTTGGTATATCTCTCGGGGAGAACCTGAAATCCACAAATTGGAATTACAACCCCTTAGATCATCGGCCAGACTTTGGTGACCCACTACTGAGCCCCTCCATGGACTGTGGGTCATGAAAAACACTGGGTCGGTTTAATAAAGCAAATGTAGACCGTAGTCCGCAATTAAAGGTGGAGTGCCCCAACGTTTATTTATTTAATTCGTAGACCATATGAATCATTTTTTCATCTAATAAATTTAATTATGTTTGTTTTATGATGTATGATTTTTAGAATTATTATTTGAATTTTTTCTAGATTTTTGGATTTTTATTTATCAAATTTGGATTTATAAAAACAGAGATATTGGTTTTACATTGATTTAAATATTCAAATAAATTCTAAAAAAAATTCTGTTAATTTTAAAAATATTTAAAATTGCATGGAGCCCATTGTGTACATGGGCCAACCATGGCTTAGATGGTAGGGCCCATGAGATCCCCTCATGGGCAGCACACCCCACACATTTAGGGCTTTCCATTTTGATGGGTTAGTTTTAGCTTGAAGTCCAAGTAGCTATGTGATTTGAAAAGCTATAGCCTTGAGGAAGCTTTGAATAGATTGTTAGAAAGCATGAGAAGGCTTGTGCATATTTTTTGGTAAGCACAATATTATGAATGAAATTATTTTATTTAATTTCTATTGATGACAAAATGGTTTAGAAAAGGGGGATAATGGTTCAAGCACTTTTCATGATATTGATGGTCCATCTAATTTTTTGGTAAGCACAATATTATGAATGAAATTATTTTATTTAATTTCTATTGATGACAAAATGATTTAGGAAAGGGGGATAAAGGTTTAAGCACTTTTCATGATATTGATGGTCCATCTATGGAATGGAATGCTCAAATCTCACACCCCACAAGTCACCCAAAATCAATGGTTCATATTCAATCTCACACGAAGAAGCAAGTCATGAAAAATCCTAAAAAACCCTAATCCTATTTCTGCATTATAAATAGAGGACCCTTTGCCCTTAAATATTTACAACAAAATCTCTCCTCTCTCTAAATATTTCTCTCTCTCTCTCTCTGGTAACAATAGGGGGCATGCCCCAACTCTAGAAGCTCTCTCTCTAGATTATAGTATGGAGCACGCCCCACCTCTTAGACCATATCTCTCTCTAGGTTGACCTAAGGGGCACACTCCACCTAGATGGTGTTATCTCTCTCTCATCTTGCTTTGATGTTCTAACGGGTTGGGTAGTAGTAGTAAGTAGATGTTATCTCACTTAAACTAGGTTTTGTGGGTT